AAGTCATGCTCCATTACTTATTTGGAAGACAAACTTTTCTTACTTTTACATGTTATTGGGTAGCTAAAGGTACATCATTGTGCAACTTTTTGAGGACTTGACCACTCTGATCGCCTTCACTTTTGTGGGGTCAATCTTGATGATTGAGTTTCAATACATTGAAAAATTTGACATCAGCATTTTAGAGAGGGGTTGCATGCTTTTTCATTTTTTTGCATTTGCATGTGACTTTCTTTGCCTAAGATAGGAGACTAGGTTTTTCTTTTCTTATTCAACAAAGTGGATCAATAGTAATAGTAATTTTTGGCATGTTTTTACTAGTCTACTTGTTTTCCATATTGTCACTATATATTTTTTATCAATATTCCATGATATTTTTTTCTCAGTAGAATAGTCTTTTCTCTTGTGAGCTGATGCTTGTAGGGTCATCTATACAAGAGTATATGCTTATTATGACGATGTGAGCTAACCAAGTTGATGATGATGTTAATCATCTCTTAATTAACTTATATCCTTAGCGTGAATTATGCATCTCGTGTGTCCATATTAGATTAGATATCATTGCTATATCATTTAGCATTTCCATTAGAGGTTGAAGTTGTGTTCCATAGCCACAATTGCTTTTTATTTCCCATCTTTCTTTCACTTGTTAGGGAATGGTTTAGGGTACAGTTTTGAGCTTAGGGAATGGTTTGCAATTTTGAGCGTTTTTTAATGCGTCAGGTATATGTGATTAGATATCTGATAATAATCACAGAATTTATCCAAAGTGTTGGTCTCGTAAGAGGAATTAACATCATGGATCCTTTTTTTCTTCTCATATTTTGTAGAATAAAGACCTTCTCTTTGGATGGTTTTTATATTTTCTTTCTTGCCTTATCACTACATATTGGCATGACTTAGGGTCATAATTGAAAATGATGTAGTTTGTTTACAATTAATAGATAAGTCCTTGTCAATGTTTAAAATTGTGCAATTGGGTTGAGGTGTTTTTTGTTTGTGAGATGAGGCGTAAGCTTCAAGGCGTTTTGAGGCGTGAGCTTCAAAATTAAAAAATTGTGCACAGTGCAAATAAAGGTTAAAAGTGATTTTTTATATAATACTCAAATAATATGTTAAAAATGACATAATATATTTTTATTGAACCATGAAGTATCAAATTGACATATATATAAAACAAAAAATTGCAGAAGATATGAAGTGGCAAGTGATAAATTGCTTGAAATATAATTGATATGCAAATATTAAATGAGCAAAAAAATATTAAATATATAAACTGCATAAAAGTATTATATAATATTAAGTTCAACTCTAATTTTTTTTCTTTCTATGTTCTCTACTCATCCATATTTTAATTTCTAAAAAAGGTTGAAAGGTTATCAACAAATTAGAAAATATTAGAAAATCATTTATATTGTCATGACTGAAGGGGTCTTTGTTTGAGTTGTCATTATAACAAATTAGTCTCTCCCCTGTCTCATCCTGTGGAGTCCAATGTCTCATAATATACTTAATTTATTTCAGTCATTTTTTCTCTTTCATAAATAATTTTTATCAACATAAAGATGAGATTATTACTCCAAAAGTTTTAGAGGAGATGGGGGTGGTAAGTGGATTTCAAGTGATCCTTTACGGCGACTCTAACAGTGGTGGCTGTGGCGAAGGCAACAGGCTGGAGGTTGAGGCAGTTGAGAAGAAGTTGTTGTTACTTGGGGGTGCATTAATGTGTGATTTGTTCGGGGCTTTACTATAGGATTTTTGTTAGTTTGTATATATATAAAGAGAGAGAGAGAGAGTGGCGAGGCGAGCCTCAAGGAGGGTCTCAATCAAGCTGAGGCGGAATTCTAATAGAAAAAAAATCGAGGCGTAAACCTCGAATCATTTTTCACTAGAATTGCGTTGGGGTGGGCCTTTAGGCGAGCCTCATATTATGCAATTTTAAACAATGCTTAAGGTGCAGTTAATCAAAGTTTTTACATCTTTTAAAGTGACTTTTTGACATTGAAGGTATACTGCACATATTGCTCTAGTGTTGCCTTAACTTGTGCCTCTTCAGTTGAAGACTTCTTGTTCTATGATTAAAGCACATGATAAGGTTTCCTTTGCCCGATTAAAGTTAAGCCATCATGCATGGAATTGAGGAATGCCCCATTTATAGATGCATGACCAGTAATAGGTGACTACGAGGATATTCAGGTAGCTGTCATGCTTAGAGGTCAGTTCGATTCTTGCACTCTATGCATGTCGCGATTCAACAGTTTCTTTGAAATTTTTTTCTCCGAGTTTCCTACTATAGGACTTTGAGATTGGAGAGAAATTGGAGTTTAATTGATAGAAGAAAGGAAGATAAAGAGGGAAGTGTTATTTTTTAAGAGATTTTTACGATGGATTTCATTGCAGGAATTATGACCTTTAAATAAATAATTACTTCAATGATAATATCTCATGCTATCATAATTACTTTGTGAACGAGGGAATTTATCTACAAATAACATAATAGGTAGCTTTAAATTATATATAATTTCAGTCAAAACTGTATTAATCTTAACTCAAATGCTAGCTTGCCAAAACAAATTAAAAAATTCCAACACGTTCATATTCAACTATAATATTAATTAAAAAAAAATTATAAGATGAATTTTATTCCAATGATACAACTTCCGAGGTTCTAATCTCTTTCATATGACATCCAATTGGTCATCTATGATGCACAGACATGGACACGGCGATATGGATACGACACGACACGGACACGTGACATGTCAGTTATTGAAAATATAGGACACAGAAACGATATTATAGTTTTTATATTTTAAAAATAGTGTATAAAAATTAAATACGTATAATTTTAAAAATAATTTGAAAATAATAAGTCATTTAACTAGAATTTGTGCTTAAAATGATTAGTATTAAGATATCGAGAGACAGGCGTCGATGCCGTTTATCTGTCATTGAGAGGAGATGAAAATACCTTCACTGTCAAAAAGAAATGAAAATGAGAATATTTGATGATTGGGTATTAAGTGCGGACTTTGATTTGATGTTGTGAAATTTAGTTTAAATCCTGTCAAATACAAGAAATTATATTTAAAAAAACTCATAAAATATTTAAGCGTGTGTCCAATTTGTATTTAATATTTTTTAATCGGATACGTTTTCGGCGTGTCCAACACGTGTCGGAGGAGTGTCGGACGAGTGTCGTGTCGGATACGGTGTCGGACACTGCAAGCCTCTTTGAGGAAAAGTGTCGGTGCATCATAGTTGACCATATAATTACACTTATGGACTCATGACAACATTCTCTTTCTTCTAAGGATGTGATTTAAGAATTCTCTGTTAACATTCTTCATTAAGAAATAGTACAATTCGAAAACAATGGATTGAATCTCATAATTTTTTTGTAGTTTGATTCCCAAATTATGAGAATGCTCTTCTTATAGTCTTCTTTCAAGTGGAGAGTTATTTTTTCTATCTTGTTTGTGATGTCATATCTAGACCAACACAACATCAAGAAGATCATTCAAAAGATGAAAAGTCATATGTAGAATACAACAATGCTCGAGTTATATTAATTTATTTATAGATGGGGTGAGGGTGAGAGATTATATTTAAGAGTTAATGGAATTATGGGTTAGTAGATACTTCATAGGGAAAAGTAGTCTTATGTGGTTTAGACATTCATAATAAAAATAAGACAGCAAAAATTATACAAGGAGTAAATGTTATAATAGGAAAACATGTGTAGATGGAAATTAGCCTAATTTTAGTTAATTAAAAACTCGCAAAAGCTAGAGTTAACTTTTAGTTCTTAGTAAGAATGAATGATGGATTCTAACGCAAGTTCGAATAGTTGAATAAATGTTATTGATGATGAGTATGATGAGAACAATCTTTTATGTTTAAAGTCAATCCATATTTGCAGTTTTTTTATATTTAATTTTTTTTAGTCTTTTGAAGGGATAGATTTATGGACATAATGCTATTTGAACTTCAAGCTTACTATAAACCCAAAATTTATGGGGAGGAATTTAATAATAAGAATTTCAAGTTTGAAATTTTTTTATTATCTTTTATCAAACGAATCTACAGTAAATATTTGTTCTTTCCCTCGTTCAATCTACTACTGCCACACCAAAATCATAAACTCTCTCACCACTTTATCAATACACCTAACTCATTGAAGCCTACTCATTACCTTGTCAATAGACCCATCTTTTGGATAAAGAACTCCGTGTCTGTACTAGGAGAAAAATAAAAATTTAGGGGAGCAATCAGCATATCTCTAGAACATCCAAGAACTCGAATTTATTATAGGACCAATGAAGTATAAACTTGATTGAAGTGGAATGTGTGACCGTGTTGTGTGCAAAGGATGTCAAATGCAACAGGGCTTGCATTTAGTTGCCAGGGAAGGCGTAGCAGGTTGGCATGAATGTGGAATGGAGGTGATGGTGGAGCTGATAGGAGTAATCGCAAAGAATGTTATGCAAAAGATGCGATTAAGTGATGTAGTACGGTAGTCATAATCTATTAAACTAGCAGGTAACAGTGAGATGTGGAGGAGATCAGAAGGCTCTCATAATATAAGTGATGTAGACTAACTAAAGGGAAGGGAAAAATGTATTGAAATAAAGGAATTGAGAGGGAGAGAAGGAAAGGAGGAAGAAAAAGAAAAGAAGATATGTGTCGGATAGGGTTAAGGAATAGATGTTTTCATTCAATCAAACATAATTGACAAAACACAAGGTATTTGAATTATATGGAGAGGAGTATGACTTACAATACATAAAAGTCCAAATAAACTAGAAATCTTAAATACAGTAAGCACCAACAAGTCAGAAGTTTTTATGCTACTGTCTATTATGAGTTCACGCAATTTATATGGTTGAAACCTTCTCTATTCATGGTCGTACTCATATGCTCTTCTATTTTGACACTCATATTATGTTGTTGTTTACCTGTTTGGAAACTTATGACAGTGGAATTAATTGTGGCTACAGGAAGCGTGAGATCGTTAATAACCTTGCCATGCTTCATGTCTCATGCGAGCATACCTACAGCAGTTCGTGAAGCTAGAGGCCTCACCGAAGACCTCATCCGCATCTCCGTTGGCATTGAAGACGTCGACGATCTTATAGCAGATCTAGACTATGCCATAAGATCTGGACCTGTTTAGGATTGCCATGTGATCTGAACCAGTTTGATGTGTAAAGTTGCTTGTAAAATTAAATTTCTTGCCTGATTAATATATGGATTAGCCTAATTTGTAAATTTTTCTCTATCATTTTGCAAGTCATTTCAGCCCAAGGATTCGTCATTCTTTTCCTTCATTTCCGCACCAACAGTTCACAAGCGACACAGGTGTAGCATGCCTTCTTTATTGATTGTTAATAATTGTTGCAGGCTGTGCTACTTGACTGTCTTAAACTTAAATTTCACGTGATTTAAAGTTATTTGGATTTTTGTGAATTCTCCAGTTCAGTAAACCAATTTTAGTTTTTAACTCCATAGAAAAAGAAAAATCATTTTTTATTATTTTTAAAGTAATTTTCTATTATAAAAATTTTCAACTAAAAAATATTTATACTGAAAGTTTTATTTTAAAAAGAAACAAAAAAGTTATTTCAAACGAAACCTAAATTTCTCTTATTTGATCATATGCTATTAAGAAAGCATTCTTCTCCCAACGTTCATCAATCGGAAAATGGAAAAAAAAAAAAAAAACTTGACTGGACGAATTATCATGATTGTATGTCTCATCACCACGTCATTCAGTAAGTTACAAGGTAAGTAATTTATCATCCGCTTTGAATTCTAGAAATATTTTATCACAAATAATCCTTTTTTATCGTTCTTTTGCACAAAATAATTTTCTTTTTAAATTTGTTTGGATTTCAAGAAAAAAAAGAAGAAGATAAAACTCAAAAGTTTAAGAGCAATGAATGTAAATTGTTTTATTGCGGTATCAGTCCTACCATTTATTGTATTAGTGTTTTTTGCTTGAATCCCCATTTTTATTGCCTCATGTTACCTGACTCAACGATACGTTCGGTAGTGCTTAAAAATGCGACACCTGGTAGCGGCCTTTACCCGTAATGACCCGACGCAGCCCATACGCTTTAGCACGTTTTTTAAATTATTTCGGGTCGGCCCGTCGTCGCATTGTATATGAATTGGGCGGGAAAACTAAGATGCTCCTTTTCTTTCTTCTAAAATAAGCGAGGCTTTAATTAAATCATTGCCATATCCTGATTCTTTAAGGATGTGATTTTGATCATATTTTCAAATGAAAATTCTATCACAAAAACTTTTGATTATAACATATTATGCTTTTGTTAATTTGAATAATTACAAATTTATTAGACTTCTTATTGATTTTAATGCATCGATCAGCATCATAAATCTAGAGATATTAATCTAATGCAATGTTAACACATAAAAGCTCAATTTATACAAGACGCTGGAGGCAAAATTAGAGATGGTTTTCGGCTTGTAGGAAAGCACAAGGTAGGGAGTGACTGCTCCTCCGCGAATCTCGTGACCGTCCGCTTCAATCTCGACCAAAATCAAGACCCAGTCGGTCTTCCTCCTCTGCATGTTCGGCTTCCTTCCTCTACGTGAACAAAGCCAGGCTCTGCACTCTCCACCTCCTTACAAACGTCCAAGCCAAACGATTTCACATTTTCTTACAATGTCTAGGGTTTTTGTTCGTGGCTCTTTCGGTCAGGTAACCTCACCTCTTCTTCCTTAATCCTTCTTTTTCTCTCATTTTTCTTCCGAAAAGCCGGCATGGTTGCTCTTCATTTGAGTGACCCTGATTTTCTAGATGTAAAACACAAATAGAGGTCATTTCGTGAGGTTTTGTCAGGTAAGTCAACTTCTCCACTGTTAACTCCAATCAAACCTTCTTCTCGCCATGGTTTGCTAGCTTTATTGATTTCAGAAGCTGAAATGAGTTCTCTTGTTTCTCCGTTTGAGTTTGCTGTAGTTGGGAAGTTTTTCGCTCATCACCCCTCGCTTGATAGCATTCGTAATTTTTTTCTGAATTTGAAATTGATTGATGAATTTTCTGTTACTTTATTGAACCCTAAGAATATTTTGATTAAACTGAGAAATGATTTGAATCACTATCGGGTGTTCTCTCACCATTCCTATTTTGTCAATGAAAATTCGTTAGGGATGTTAAGCTCTTCTGAACTAGCCCGAGGCTAATCAAAAGGGGGGGGGGGGGAAGGGGGGGGGGGGGGGGGGTGAGTTGATGTTTTAAAAATTCTCAAATTAGATTCACGATCTAAACCAAATAATTATTTACCAGAAAATAAAATGCGGAAATTAAATATGGAAAGAACACATCATATTTTATAGTGGTTCGGTCAACTTGACCTACGTCCACTCCCCGGAATGTCTCCTCCGAGTATTACACTAAATTCAGTGACTCTCCTTTTACTCTAATAGTAAAGTGGAGAAGCCTGTTGTTTGATTGAAAAATATATATATTCATGTATATATAGTTTTGAAAAATATTTAATTATCTCTGGGAAGATTAAATTTTGAATTTTAATTCTGTAATGGGACTGAGGATTAGGAATGATATATCATCTAAAAAAGGCGAAGATATCATTCACTAATTGGTTCAGATTACAAAATTTTAACTTTAGCCTTATTATCGTAGTCAAATCCAAGAAGAATCATATTTGACCTCGAAAGATCAAAATAGGATTTAATCGAATATTTGGCTAAGCTAATATGGATTGAAGATAATTAATTTCATATTCGAAACTACAATAATAATTGATATATCTCTCCCAAGAAAGAAGGTATCAATTATTATGGATCGTTCGAAAATGACGATAATGATCGTCGGGTTTGATTTTCCCAAAGAAAGTTAATTAGCGATTTTGAAAAATTATTGGTTTTGAAAATCAATTCTGGGTTACTAAATCTCCTACAAGCGCAAGCCCTCGTAGTTAATTACATCAAAGAAAATCAGAATTTCCTACGAAAACTCTCGATTAAAATAGCGGTGTAAATTTTATTTAAGATTTCAAAGTTAGATATCAAAGGAAGTTAAGGTTTAGAATTTTAAGTGAGATTGGTTCAATGTTGAACAGTTATTTTTGGAGTCAAAGGAAGAGGAGTAGGGAGTGTTTTTAAGATTATGAAATAATTCAGAAAACACTCCAGCCTATCCTAAGTGTTGGTCTCGAATTTGATTAAAAGAGATTTTTTTAGTTTAAATGGTCGATTTTATTAGAAATTCGGGATTCAATTCCCAGAGGTTGAGGTCTTATGACCTGAGCCAGCCTCGGAACCTGAGTCTAAATTGGGCACTTAAAATTAGTACCCTGAACCTAGCTAGTGCAATGCAGATCTGGTCTTACCCCGGCCTGGATTGGGGAGCCAGCTAAACCACCTAAATGATTTTAAAATATGAGTCTGGTCTTTTTTGTAGAGTGGTAGGGACGTTAATTAGAAAAGTACAAAGAAACGGGGTCGACATCTAGAGCAGATCCTTAATTGACCCCTTTGACTTATGTTGGGTATTTGATGTCTAAATAAATGCAATTAAATATTAGACTCTTTTAATTTGTTACTAATGCGATGCATGCTAATTGACTCGATTGAATGCAGAATTGGTATGTAACAGTTTAAAAATTTTGGCTTAGAAAATAGGTTTTTCCCTAGAGATTGCATAACATCACCTTGACAGATCGGCACCCTCATAGGCCAGGTGGACTGCCAGAACCCGCGGGCGGGGAGATGCCTAACAAGGTGGAGAAAGTATAATATGAATGCATGAAAAACTCTCGGTGAGTCCGAGCTTAGTTCTTAGGACCTTTTAGAGTTTCTATCTTATCTTAAAAATTTTATTTAATTAAAGTAGAAAAATTTTGACAAACCCCTAAGAGCCTAAAATCGTACTCCAGGTCAAACCAAATACCGCACACGCAAATAAAATGACTAGAAAAGTAGGAGATCTAATGCGCAATCAATTTAAATAAATCAATCAAATTAAATATATCAAACTGAATGTCCGTAGGCAAGTGCCCCTTATTATTACATCTCAAAAATTGCAAGAAAATAAAGTGGCCGGGCACCACTAACTACAACCCGAATTTCTAATCCTAAATCAAATGACTTTGAGATTTGAGATTCTTCTCGTTGTCTGAATATCCAAATGAAAAGAAACTCCCCCTTGATCGGGGTGTTATTTTTCCTCTTTGGATATTTGCAAAGTATCCTAATTTGACTTCCAAATGGAAGAAGACTCTCCCCTTTAGGGATGTCTTCACCTCTTTGGAATTCAAATTGGATATTTAGATCCCAATCTAAAATTATTTTAAATAATTACAACTTTATTTAATCAAATTTACATTAATCTTAAATAGAAAAATCTAGACTCGATCCTACAAGGTTATCCTAATAATCAGCAGTTGTATATACCATCCCAAGCAATTATAATATAAAAATTAAAATGCATTTTTTTTAGCCACACTTGGCCATGCTCTTTTTATTTAAAGGGGGTCTTAAGCGCGGCGGGTACCTGTGCAAAGAATGTATATATTTTTTATTATAAATTTCCCCCTTTAATTTCAGCTTCTTGTATGAGCATGGCCACCTGCATAAGATTGCACAAGTATAATCATCCCTAACCTAGGGGTACATCTAATGCACAATCAATCACAGAGTGCAGGAAGTAAGTAAATAAATACATCAATTCTACTCTAGCAAACAGCATGCAGTGAAAGCTCGAAACCCGGCACACAACTGCATAAAGTAACACCGGCCTATCCTAAAACTAGAGTCAGTGATCCTAACAAACCATCTAAAGTGAGTGGGGTAGGTCGTGCGATTTTGATATGTCCTAAATGGGATACGTGATTGAAATTACTTAAGGTTTGATTGTTGATTTTAAAGATTTGATTAATTTAAGTTTGTCATTAATTGATTCGTGGCATTGTGCCATAAGGCTCAAGAAACCAGCCTCCCTAGGACACTTAGCCCCGCAGCCCGGAGTAGTCCAGCCGATAAACCAAATTAATGTAATTGAATTAGAAGTTTTTAAAAAGGGTTGGATAATTAATGATTAATCTATTTTAAGGTTTAACTCCTCTTAGAATCCATTCGTGGCATTGTGCCACCAGGCTCGAGGAACCAGCCTCCTTAGGACACTTAGCCCCGCAGCCCGGAGTAGTCCAGCCAATAAACTTCATCTTTAGGATGGTTGTTGTGTTTTAAAAGATTTGTTGAATGTTT